ATTAACTACCGGAAACTATCGGGGACTGTTGGAATCTGTCAGGAACTATAAGGAACTTCCGGGAAATATCAGAAACTATCGGGGACTGTCAGGAACGTTCGGGAACTATCGGGAAATATCGGAAACTATCGGGGACTGTCAGGAACTATGAGGACCTTTCGGGAACTGTCAGGAACTATCGGAACTTTTGGGAAATATTGGGACGTATTGGGAACTGTCAGGAACAATCAGAAACTTTCGGGAACTGTTGGGAACTATAGCACAAGGAGGACAGAGAACATGGTCAGCTGATAAACATCTCTTGAGAACACAGCATGCATCACAACGAACACCGTGTTATGACCTGGTATGGTGACCAACTGACATGTCGAGCAATTTTGCACGGTATATAACACAGCTCGTTGTAGCGAGAGGTATAGATGCCAAACACCATGATTAATTATTTTGATCCCGTGGAATATTGAATAACTCCGCCTGGCAACAGCTCGGTAGGGATCGGAATCCAAGTGTTGTGTTAAACCACATAGAATCGCGAACGTCGTTTTATGGCGAATAATTATGCATGATGAACAAAGCGACACGAGTGAACGAAAGTCTTTTAAACTACACTCTTCAAAAAAAGAAAAGCATAGTTAAAACATAAGGATATTTATTAAGCGGATGTAAAATATCTACACAGAATATGCGTGAACACAATCAAATGAAATTAGACACAGTGATCGACAAAAGCATTGTCGTCATTGTCAGCATTAATTCAGTTCAGTCATTGCACATGTGTAGCCACAAGGGGGCGTCATGGTCAGTACCTGGTCACACCACCTCTTGCAGCCGTCGCTGCTCGACACCTCCTTGGCACAGATTGCACAAGTCGTCGGATTTTTTCATGGGGAATTCTTCGCCATTCCTCCTGTAAGGCGTTGGCGAGTTGTGCTAGTGTGTGGGGACGCTGGTGACGTTGACGGACGCGTCGATCAAGTTCGTCCCACAAATGTTCAATCGGGTTGAGATCAGGCGATTTGGACGGCCATGGAAGGACATTGATGTTCTCATTAACAAGGAAATTAACTGTTGCACGTGCTGTGTGGGGCCGAGCGTTGCCATGTTGGAACAGCTTCCTCTGGCGGTCCAAAGTTGGGAGGAGGTGAGGACGCAGAATTTGGTCTATGTATCGGTTTGCTGTAAAATTGCCCTGGACAACCACAAACTGTGATCTACCCGTGTAGGATATGGCTCCCCACACCATGACACTCCCTCCACCAAATCAGTCCACCTGTCGAACGCAGTTCGGCGCAAAACGTTCATGTCGACGTCGGTATACACGTTGTCTTCCATCCCGTCGTTGAAGAAGAAAACGTAACTCATCGCTGAACCAAATGCGTCGCCAGTTCCTGAGATCCCATGCCTGTACTCTGTTGCACCACCGGACACGTCGTTGACAGTGAAGACGTCGCAAGACAGGTCCAACTTTTGGTCGTCTCGCCCGAATTCCAAATTCCCTCAGACGATTTCTGATGGTTTGGTCGGAAATTCTTCACATACCAGGCACTTGTCCTGCAGTGTCCGTTGCTGTGGCAAATCGATTCCGAAGGTGATGCAACCGGATGTACCGATCCTGAGCAGGGGTGGTCACTCTTGGTCTTCCACTTCTGGGATGATCTTGAGTCGAATAAGTGCGGGTATATCGATCCCATAGTCGAGATATGGTGCTTTGGTGAACGTTGAAGTGTCTTGCAACGGCAGACTGGGACTCCCCTGCTTCCAAACGTCCAATGGCGATATTTCGGTCAGCTGCAGTTAATCTTGACATTTTTCGATCTCCGTTCACGTCAGAAAATTCGTAATGCACTGATGAATTTTGTACGGTCTTTTATAGTCAGTGTCTTCACTCTTGTTTCCAACATTTTGCACGTGCATTGTGCTGAAAACTTTTTCTGTAAGCAATTTCCGTGCATCCCTTGCATTTTTGCTGATAAACGTTTACAGAAAACATGTTGAGATGTGTTTGCGCGCAATGCACAACAAACATGACATGAATATTACCAAACTCGTCGCAAGGGTGTGAACTGCGCGTAATCTTTTTACAAAATAAATGAGTGATTAAGTATGATTTCATATTCCGGCAATGTGTATATGCTAACCATTATACCCATGAGAGAATCAAAGACTTCGGTAGGAGAAAGTATAAACTTTATTAACCAGCTGCCCGATTGTTTTGTTTGCTTTTTTGTTGTTAAAAGCCACACTCAGCAATATTCCAGCTATATGACGATGACCTATTAATAATAGTACATATTCAATGATATTAAAGCGCCAACCCACGCCGTCAGGGTACGATGAGAGGGAAGTCAGCTAGACTGTCCACCCGATCTACCCACGACCAGGATAGGTAACTGGAGGCCTATTTTACACCAGAATACCTTAGGGAGGAGTCAGTGTATGCCAAGAACAGTGTAGGTCAAGGACAGAGTATGTCAAGAACAGTGTATGTCAAGAACCGTGTATGTCAAGAACAGTGTATGTCAAGAACACTGTATGTCAAGAACTGTGTACGTCAAGGACAGTGTATGTCAAGAATAGTGTATGTCAAGAACAGTGTATGCCAAGAACAGTGTATGTCAAGAACAGTGTATGTCAAGAACTGTGTATGCCAAGAACAGCGTATGCCAAGAACAGTGTAGGTCAAGAACAGTGTACGCCAAGAACAGTGTATGTCAAGAACAGTGTATGCCAAAAACAGTGTATGTCAAGAACAGTGTATGCCAAGAACAGTGTATGCCAGGATTAGTGTATGCAGTGAACAGTGTATGCCAAGAACAGCGTATGCCAAGAACAGTGTAGGTCAAGAACAATGCAGGTCAAGAACAGTGTATGTCAAGAACAGTGTATGTCAAGAACTGTGTATGCCAAGAACAGTGTATGTCAAGAACAGTGTATGTCAAGAACAGTGTATGCCAAGAACAGCGTATGCCAAGAACAGTGTAGGTCAAGAACAGTGTATGTCAAGAACAGTGTATGTCAAGAACAGTGTATGCCAAGAACAGCGTATGCCAAGAACTGTGTAGGTCAAGAACAGTGTATGTCAAGAACGTCAAGAACAGTGTATGTCAAGAACAGTGTATGCCAAGAACAGTGTATGCCAAGAACAGTGTATGTCAAGAACAGTGTATGTCAACAACCGTGTATGTCAAGAACAGTGTATGTCAAGAACAGTGTATGCCAAGAACAGTGTATGTCAAGAACAGTGTATGCCAAGAACTGTATATGCCAAGAACTGTGTATGTCAAGAAAAGTGTACGTCAAGAACAGTGTATGTCAAGAACAGTGTATGTCAAGAACAGTGTATGTCAAGGACAGTGTACGTCAAGAACAGTGTATGTCAAGAACAGTGTATGTCAAGAACTGTGTACGTCAAGAACAGTGTATGTCAAGAACAGTGTATGTCAAGAACAGTGTATGTCAATAACAGTGTATGTCAAAAACAGTGTACGTCAAGAACAGTGTATGTCAAGAACTGTGTATGCCAAGAACTGTGTATGTCAAGAACAGTGTACGTCAAGAACAGTGTATGTAAAGAACAGTGTATGTCAAGAACACTTTATATCAAGAACAGTGTATGCAAACAACAGTGTATGCCAAGAACAGTGTATGCCAGGATTAGTGTATGCCAAGAACAGTGTATGCCAGGATTAGTGTATGCAAAGAACAGTGTATGCCAAGAACTGTGTTTGCCAAGAACAATGGACGCCAAGAACAGTGTACTTCAAGAACAGTGTATGTCAAGAAGAGTGTATGTCAAGAACACTTTATATCAAGAACAGTGTATGCAAACAACAGTGTATGCCAAGAACAGTGTATGCCAGGATTAGTGTATGCCAAGAACAGTGTATGCCAGGTAAGTGTATGCAAAGAACAGTGTATGCCAAGAACGGTGTATGCCAAAAACAATGAACGCCAAGAACAGTGTATGTCATGAACAGTGTATGTCAAGAACAGTGTATGTCATGAACAGTGTACGTCAAGAACAGTGTATGTCAAGAACAGTGTAAGTCAAGAACTGTGTATGTCAAGAACTGCGTATGCCAAGAACACTTTATATCAAGAACAGTGTATGCAAACAACAGTGTATTTCAAGAACTTTGTATGCCAGGATTAGTGTATGCCAAGAACAGTGTATGCCAGGATTAGTGTATGCAGTGAACAGTGTATGCCAAGAACAGTGTATGCCAGGATAAGTGTATGCAAAGAACAGTGTATGCCAGGATTAGTGTATGCAAAGAACAGTGTATGCCAAGAACGGTGTATGCCAAGAACAATGGACGCCAAGAACAGTGTATGCCAAGAACAGTGTATGTCAAGAACAGTGTATGTCAAGAGTGAGTGAGTGAGTGAGTGACGTTTTACGCCGCTTTTAGCAATATTCCAGCAATATCACGGCGGGGAACACCAGAAATGGGCTTCACACATTGTACCCATGTCGGGAATCGAACCCGGGTCTTCGGCGTGACGAGCGAACGCTTTAACCACGAGGCTACCCGACCGCCCCGTGTATGTCAAGAACAGCGTATGTCAAGAACAGTGTATGTCAAGAACAGTGTATGTTAAGAACAGTGTATGTCAAGAACAGTGTATGTCAAGAACAGTGTATGCCAAGGACAGTGTATGTCAAGAACAGTGTATGTCAAGAACAGTGTATGTCAAGTACAGTGCATGCCAAGAATAGTGTATGTCAAGAACAGTGCATGCCAAGAACAGTGTATGTCAAGAACAGTGCATGCCAAGAACAGTAACATGTTACACGGGAGCCGTTTCTAACTACCCACGTTTCAATCTAATTATTATCTTCAGCAGATGGCCTGTGTAGTGAATGTCATATGACAGAGATGACCAAGAATGTTGTGTTTCAGTCGGTCAAAGTATACGTACACCATGAGTAATGACAATCAATATACCTGTACTTTGCTCTCGTGACCCGAAACGGGATGAACTGAGATGCGCCGAGATATCACTTACACCGACATAAGAGAATGTCAGTAACATATATATCACATACCAGCTGACTAGCCGACTGGATATCATTTGCCACGTATCACCTGAGTAGAGCCGAACTAACTATATTGCTGATCAGCGTGGGACATGATGAAGAAGGCTGCCATTATGTGTTTCCGCCACGCTGTTGATTGACAGGAGGATGTGTCAGCTTGTGCACACAGTACTCCACTAGGAGCAACGCATTGAAATATATTCAGTTAACGCCGTTTAAAACGCAACGATCTGAGCACCAACATCACCAAGATTACTTGATTTACCACATAATATATTGCATGGGGATTACATAACATGGTCGTGACGATCGTACCTACTTCTACAGTGCCTACGAGTGTGTCTACAAGTGTGCCTTTAAGTGCTTTCCAGGAATTACGTGTCGTTTCCTAACACTGTGTCATCTGCAATGGATTTCACGAGTTACTGAATCAATTTCTTAAAGTGACGTCATTGGATAACGGTTAACATTCATCGCCTGGATACATTCAATTCATGATTTTTTAATTGGTTTCATCTTAACTTATCAAAATTGATACTATCTTCGATTCAACGTTGGAAATAGAGGAGAACCGACGCGACCATCCTTGTTCCAGAATGGCGCGTATAAGCAAGGATACTGTTCTCCGGATTGTGGGCCTCGTGGTCGGGTGTATCGGGATGGGTGTGGCGGGGTCGGTGTTCGCCTTCAACGCCTACGCCAATGCCATCAAGAAGTCCTTCAACTACACCCAGTCAGAGGGTAGGTAAACATAACACATGACAAAAAACGCTTCCTTTTTAATATATTTTCCAACAAGTATTAACCGAATTGCTTTATTTCCAAACCACAAAACAAATCCAGATCAATTCAACATAATCCTAAATCATCAAGATAATCAAATGAAATTCAATCCAATCAAATTAAATCCAGTTTCATCAAATAAAATTTAATTTTATCAAAATAAATATAAAGTAATCAAATTAAATCCAAAGTAATCAATTAAATCCAAAATAATCAAATTAAATCCAAAGTAATCAAATGTAATCCAATGTAATCCATTAAATCCAAAGTAAGCAATTAAATCCAAAGTAATCAAATGCAATCTACAGTAATCCAATGCAATCCAAAGTAATCAAATGCAATCCAACATAATCAGTTAAATCCAAAGTAATCAATTAAATCCAAAATTATATATTAAATCCAAAGTAATCAAATTAAATCCAAAGTAATCAAATGCAATCCAATGTAATCAATTAAATCCAAAGTAATCAATTAAATCAAAAGTAATCACTTAAATCCAAAGTAATAAAATTAAATCCAAAGTAATCAAATGCAATCCAATCAATTAAATCCAAAGTAATCAATTAAATCCAAAGTAATCAATTAAATCCAAAGTAATCAAATGCAATCCAATCAATTAAATCCAAAGTAATCCATAAATCCAAAGTAATCAATTAAATCCAAAGTAATCAAATGCAATCCAATGTAATCAATTAAATCCAAAGTAATCAATTAAATCCAAAGTAATCACTTAAATCCAAAGTAATCAATTAAATCCAAAGTAATAAAATTAAATCCAAAGTAATCAAATGCAATCCAATGTAATCAATTAAATCCAAAGTAATCAATTAAATCAAAAGTAATCAAATTAAAACCAAAGTAATCAAATAAATCCAAAGTAATAAATTAAATCCAAAGTAATCAAATTAAATCCAAAGTAATCAATTAAATCCAAAGTAATCAATTAAATCCAAAGTAATCAAATGCATTCCAATGTAATCAATTAAATCCAAAGTAATCAATTAAATCCAAAGTAATCAATTAAATCCAAAGTAATCAAATTAAATCTAAAGTAATCAATTAAATCCAAAGTAATCAAATGCAATCCAAAGTAATCAAATGCAATCCAAAGTAATCAAATGCAATCCAAAGTAATCAAATGCAATCCAACATAATCAGTTAAATCTAAAGTAAAAAAATTAAATCAAAAGTAATCAGTTAAATCCAAAGTAATCAATTAAATCCAATGTAATCAATGTAATCCAATGTAATCCAAAGTAATCCAGAGCAATTCAAGGCTGAAAGATTTGTAATAATCTTGTACAGGATATCGTCGAGTCTTGATAACTTTGGATTAAGCAGTCATTTGTTACGGCACATCCAGAGTAATCAAATTGACAGCATACGCCTAAGTTCACTGCAAATATTGACGGCAAAAAAGATAAACTTGGAGATGACGATGTTGTTGATGATGATGGTTATGTTGTTCATGATCATCATCATTAGAATTATAGAAAACATGTTACGCTTGATTTCTATCCCCCCACGATGTAACGTCGGGGGGATAATTATATAGTCGTCTGTCTGTCTGTCCGTCCGTCCGTCCGTCCGTCCGTCCGTCTGTCTGTCTTTCTGTCTTCTACTCACTCAGACGCACACAACCGTTACGGCACATATGATTTAAACAGTATATTAGTATTTTTCTACAATCATATGTAAAGTGTTTGGATGGGGATTTATAAACAAGGTTTCCCCAATATAAATTACAGCATGCATTGTACAGAAGAGTTTAATAAACATACTTTTTAAAATAAGTGTCATATAGATACATATATGCACGTACAGGTACACAGACATTCAATTGTTTTACAGAGAAATAATTATACAGCAATCTACAGATGTCACTTGTAAATCATTAGTTAATAACTAGTGTATAAGTGGTATACTCCAACACTACGCATTTCATAAGAGTGAGTGAGTGAGTACGGTTTTACGCCGCTTTTAGCAATATTCCAGCAATATCACGGCGGTGGACACCAGAAATGGGCTTCACACATTGTACCCATGTCGGAAATCGAACCCGGGTCTTCGGCGTGACGAGCGAACGCTTTAACCACTAGGCTACCCGACCGCCCCCCATTTCATAAGATAAAAGGGGCAGTGGGGTAGCCTTGTGGATAAGGTGTTCGCTCGTCACGCCGAAGACTCGGGTTCGATTCCCAACATGGGTACAATGAGTGAAGCCCATTTCTGATGATATAACTGGAATATTGCTAAAAGCAGCGTAAAACAATACCCACTCACATATATCGTCGCCGGTGATAGTATGCGATGGTTGGCGATAATATGTGCCATGAACGTTGGCATATATTTTCGCCAGTAGCTGATATAATATACAGCGAGTCAGATCACCCTGATTCGTCCTATATTAGTGTGAATGAGAAGGTTTTACGTCGCGTTTAGCAATATTCCAGCAATATCAAGGCGGGGGACACCAGAAATGGACTTCACATATTGTACCCATGTTGGGAATCGAACCCGGGTCTTTGGCGTGACGAGCGAACACTTTAACCACTAGGCTACCCGACCGCCTCCCCCCCATGACTGATAAGAGCACCTTCTTGACCACAAGAAGTGTCCACATTATAATTTGTAATCATTATCGGACACGTTTAGGTGACTGCTGACAAACGAAATACCGTAACGTTTCGAACCTGTGACGTACAGATCCTTGCATGGCGGTGACCTATGCCACTGGGGCAACAGTCCCCGCTTAGTGGCGTGGATTGTATTACATATATATCAGTTCAAATAAGTTATGATAAGCATTCAACATGTCTGTTCAGAAAACAATAGAAAACATATGTCACCAGGATAAATTGCTTGCCTCAAATTGATTTTGCTGGAGTATTCTGGCGTGCTCATAATAATTATACGTGTTTATATAAAAAAATATTTCAAATGAAAACCAAATGAAAATAGAAAGTGCATTTATTGTTAACAAATATATGTACGCATTTGTGGGTCATCGCCAGACACGTGCCACGACAACACATACCATGCATACTATTACCTCCCGACGCGTAAAGACCCGTGTTAAAGTATAGAAGTTACGACCGGCTTAGAGCTACGACCGCTTTGTGGAACGGGACCCAGCAACCCATGCTTGTCTCTCCGTGAAGATCCGGGGTAGAATAGGTCTTCAGCAACCCATGCTTGCCGTAAAAAGCGACTATTCTTGTCGTAAGAGGCGAGTAACGGGATCGGATGGTCAGGCTCGCTGACGTGGTTGATGCATGTCATCGTATCCCAATTAATGGGTCGATGCTCATTATGTCAATCACTGGATTGTCTTGTCCAGACTCGATTATTTACAAACCGTCGTCATATAGCTGGAATATTGCGGAGTGCGGCGTTAAACAATAATGCTAAAGACCTATTCTACCCCGGAATCTCACTAAATGTACATACATTTCGCAAATGTAAAGTGCTGTTGTTAAAGAACAGAACAATAATATAATGCCAAAAAATCCACATCCACCCTCATAAAGGAAGTCGCTTAAGAGTTTGGAAGTTCTTGTCAATCCAACGGAAATTTCAAATCATTCTTGACCGCCTCCGTGGTCTAATGGTACTGCGTCCGCCTGGAGAGCGGAAGGTGGTACTGCTTGTTACCCTGTCTGGCGCTCGGCATTAAGGGGCTAAAACAAGGACTGGTCGACTCGGAGTCAGTATACTGTGTCTGGGTGGGGTAGTCATGTTAAAACTGCGGCATGGTATCTCAGTGTGCTAGCACTATAAATCGGCATCGGTCCGGACTAGTACAAGCAGGCACACACACACATACACGTGCATGCACGTCGCTTTATAAGTGCAATAATCTTGGACGCGACGTTAAACCCCATTTCACCTCAAATCATCGTTTTTCGTCCAGTGTGCAGTGGTAATACCTACAGTGTTAATGCATGGCCTTATTGTATTTTTGTAGTGGAGCTTCTCGCCTCAATGGGAAATATCGGAACATCCCTTGGTTTCCCGGCCGGCATCATGTTCGAGAGATTTGGATCACGGCGGACGGCGTTCGCGGCTCTCATCATCTCCGCGTTAGGCGGCTTCCTGCTGTACAGCACGACACTGCAGAAGACGTTCTATGCAGGGAAGGCATATCTGCAGTACATCTACTTTTTGCTGTTCGGTAAGTCTACCGTCATAGTAATAGTGTTTGTTTGTTTGTTGTTTATCGCCGCACTCAGCAATATTCCAGCTATATGACGACGGTCTGTAAATAATCGAGTCTGGACCAGACAATCCAGTGATTGATTCATGAGCATCGATCCATGAAATTGGGTTACGATGACATACATGAACCAAGTCAGTGAGTCTGACCATCCGATTAAACTTCCAGATCATCCCTCTATTAGCCAAATATCACTTATTTGTATCCAATTTAGCAACAAGTTGCTTCATCAAAATGTATACCGTTATCCGAAAGGATTTCATTGGGTAGCCCTCGCCGACTCGCCATTATGTAGAATGCATTAAGAAACAAATCACTATAATGATAGTAGTAGTAGTAGTAGCATCATCATCAGTTGTAGTAGCATCAGCAACAGTAGAGTAACTGAGTGAGTTGAGTTTAACGCCGCTTTTAACAGTATTACAGTTGTATCGTGGTGTGTCACCTAAATGTGGGAGGAAAGCCCGAAGTGATTCAGGTCTCAGACGTTTACCACTTCGGTGAAACCCACGAGCACGGGGATGGTGCTGACAAACCTAGAAACATAATCGGGGCGAACCGGGATTCGAACCCACAATCATAGGTTTCTGGGTGCCCAAAGGCCGCAACTCTTGCACAGCGAATCGCGGCGCCTTAGATGACTGGGCCACCCGTGCCCCCAGCAACAGTAGAATAGTAATAGTAGAAGTTTGTTTGTTTGTTTGTTTTTAAACGCCGCACACAGCAACATTCCAGCTATGTGACGGCGGTCTGTAAATAATGGAGTCTGGACCAGACAATCCAGTGATTGACATCATGAGCATCGATCCACACAATTGGGATACGATGATATGCATCAACCTAATCAGCGAGCCTGACCATCCCGTCAGTCGCCTTCTACGACAAGCATGGGTTGCTGAAGACCTATTCTGTCCCGGATCTTCACGGGTCTAATAGTAGTAGTATTAGTAGTAGTATCAGCAATAGTAGTAGTAGTAGTAGTAGTAGTAGTAGTAGTAGTACTTAGTAGGAGCAATAGCAGTAGTAGTGGTAGTAGTAGCATCAGCAGAAGCAGTGGCAGTAGTAGTAGCATCAGCAGAAGTAGTAGAAGTTGTAATAGTAGCATTAGTCTTAGCATGCAACCGTCCAAATCCTTTGCAATGTGTGCTGGTCGTGAGAGGTGTTTTAATGGATCATGAGGTCACCTGATCAGGTTCGGTGACTTGATCGATCTTCGCTCCCGACGAATGTTGATCGCTGGATGAATTACTGGATTGCCTGGTCCAGACTTATACAACTGGAATATTGCTTAGTGCAGCGTCAATTACTAAAACATCATGTATAGCGTGTATAGCCAGGGTGCCGTTTTTCAGAGCGATCTTAGCGCTAAGGTGATCGTAAATCCCATACCATAAATTAGACTTACGACAGTCGTAGCGCTAAGGTTGTTTTGTACAACGTTACCCAGGGCTTTTATATACCAGGGGGCACGGTTGGCCCACTCGTCTAAGGCGCCGCGATTCGCTGTGCAGGGTTGCGTCCCTTGGGCACGCCAGAAACCTATGATTGTGGGTTCGAATCCCGGTTCGCCCCGATTATGTTTCTAGGTTTGTCAGCACCATATCCGTGCTCGTAGGTTTCACCGAAGTGGTAAACGTCTGAGACCTGCATCACTTCGGGCTTTCCTCCCACATTAAGCTGACACGCCGCGATATAACTGGAATACTGTTAAAAGCGGCGTAAAACCCAACTCACTCACTCACTCACTTTTATATACCAGTGATCCCGTGGGAGTCGGATCAGGATGAGTCGCAAGCATCCCCTGTGCGTCGTACATGTCTGAGCTGATACAATGAGGATCAGGTGCACGGTCTCTGTGCCTTCCTTGATTGCGCGTCATTGTACTTCGATGGTGGATAGTGTGTGTGTCAAGCAAGACTCGAATATTAACAGGCCGTTTTGATATAGCTGGACACCCATTGGGATGACGGGTGAAGATATAGACCCAGCTATGCTTATCATAAGAGGCGACTGAATGGATCGGGTAGTCCGACTCGGTGACATGTTAGAATGAATGTCATCGTATCCCAATTGCATGACCTCGTGATGTCAATCACTTGATTGTTAAGTCAAGACTCAATTATTAACTACCGCTATATGACCTGATTATTGCGGCGTTAAACAAACAAACAAACACACACAAATGGTATAGCTGGAATATTGCTTTCTGTTGCATTAAACAGGATTCACCAACTAACGTACCCAGAAATGACTATATGTTTCTATTTGTCTACTGGCAGGTCTTGGGGCCATCTTCACCTACATGGTATCAATGATGGCCAATGTAAGCAACTTCCATGCCAAACATCGAGGCAAAGTCATCGGTGTTCTGGACGCCTCCTTCAGCGGCGGACCTGCCCTCGTGGCGCTCATCTATGGCACGCTCTTCGTCAACGGCCACGACCACAACGACGAGGATAAACAAAACCTGTCAGGGTTTTACCTCCTTAACTCATTTCTGTTTGTTGCTGCTAACATTTTGGGCATCTTCTTCCTCGTCATCCGCGTCCTTCCAGAAGATGAGGAGAACAAGTCTCTGGTATCCAGTGAGGAGATTCCTGATGAACTAAAGCCCAAGAAAATCAACCCCGAACTACCCCAAGACATAACAGGAAGGAAACTCCTGTTTAACTTTGATTTTCATTTCCTGACCTGGTCCTTCTGGATGTGCGCGTGTCTTCAGTTGATGTTTCAAACCAACATTACGACATACCTAAAATCCTTCCATTTGGAACGGTACAGCACATTATTAACAACTCTCAACTTTGTCGCTGGTACCGTAGCCAAAATCGCCTTCGGGTTCGGATCGGATTTAATTGTGCATAAAGTTCCACGGGCAGTGGTCATCTTGACAGCGACCGCTGTCCAGACAGCGGTTCTGACCGTCACCATATTCCATGCCGGCAGTTTTCCTATTCTATTCATAGCGGTTCTTGGAGTTGGGATCCCGAACGGCGCGACCTGGTGCCTCACGCCTACCATGACTAGTGAATTCTTTGGCATTAAGTATTTTGCTAGGAACTGGGGTGCAATGATGATTGGCAATGCGGCAGTGGGCTTGCTGCTTCAGAAGGTGTTTGGCGTCATCTATGATAACGCCATACCAGTAAAAGGAGAAACGAATTGCTATGGACAGAGCTGCTTCCGGTGGAGTTTTGTCATGGCAGCAGTTCTAAGTTTGTGTTCTGTGATTTTTTATGCAGGTTTGCTTGAGAGAAGGTGGAGGTATCGTAAATTTATTCGTGAAATGGAACAAAAACAAATTAATTCCAATGAATCTAAACGTGAAATATCGTAAGAATGGCGACGGTAATGCCTTGTGGCCAAAGCTTTGTCTTTATTGTGGGAATCAAATGGCAATTGAGACGGTGTTATTACCAGTGACATTGTTGCTTTCATCATTGCTGAAAATATTGCAGACATGACACTTTTTTAAAACAACTGATTGTATTGCTTGAAAATATCATAACATTGATCCACCATAAGGTTAGTTCGAAATTGATAGTCACATTACTATATAACGAATTTCATGGGGCCAATTGTTTTTTAATATCGTTTTCGTCCAAAAGCGGCTTGACCAAGAGATATCGCTGCTATGAAATGGCAAAATCATTTGAAGTTCGTTGTGACGCTATCTGTTACCATGACGTCACAATCAAATGACATCACTAATCCCTCCGCATCGAACCAGGTTAGCTCTGCATTTTACACTCTGGGTCTAGATTTTCAAAACCATCTTAGTTACGATTAATCTTTTCAACTTACATTCTTAAGTTTAAGATGAGATACATTTTCGGAACTTTCTTATATATGTTAGTTACGATACCTGTCGTAACTCTGACAGAGAACTCTTTTGTGTTAGAGAGTGAAAAAGTGGGGTGTTTCCCGGCGACGTCACTTGGATTTCCCAGCTACTGACAATAACAATAAAATGGAGAAGTGACACGGAATTCATGATCACATTATCAGGTAACCTTGTTTAACATACAACTATTTGACAGACATTCCGTACAATCCTACATATGTCCTACTTGTAGACGTTTTGTTCGTATGATAAAACATGCCATGACTACCCGAACACAAATAGCATTCGTGTGCCATGCAAGGACATTTTTCAAACCAAATAGTTGTTACAATCAATAAGTGTAGTGTAACCACACTATTGCTATTAGAATTGAAATAATATACTTCGCTATATATATCCGTCATATGGTCATCTAGCGAGCGCGCAGAACGTTATATAAACACATCGCGTACGAAGTCAAGGACGAAAGTAAGGGACGTTATTCTAAATGACAATGGCGATACCTTTGATCGAACAGCAGGCGTTCAGCCTTTAAGATGAGTGTTCAAGTCTGATGTTACGTGATGTATGCTGAGTCAGTTTGACAATACTGCTTTGTATGCGTTTATGTCAAAAGTCAAGTTTATAGTGAAAACACTACAATTATACCGGGAAACACAGGGCTTGTAACTTGTAACAGGGGCCAAAAATAGCAGCTACGCGCGATATATGATCTGATTGGCTATAAATATTGTTTTTTTCTGCTAAATGAATGGCGCGACTTTTGTCAGTGCGGGTATGTCAAGGCCAACGGCTTGAAATGAGTGTATAGTTTTATAGGGGTATTTACATTGTGGAATTTGTCCTTGAATAAACTTAGTGAGTTGTCCTCGTTCCATCCCTTTCCTTTTATATAGTATACTGACACTGAGTGTGACCATATATCTTGTAGCTGCTATTTGTTGCGTTACAAGCCCCTCTGCCTGGAACACTCAAAACAAGGGCACCCACGAGCGAGTTATAATGACAATGTAAACTTTGTTAAGTTTGTTTTGTTATTTATATATCCAATATATTTCACGAATAAACAAAGGACTCAAATACAATATCCAGCTATTTGTATTTCGATGATGAATTCTATTTATATCTATCTAGATCCCTAATTCTTTTTTAAATGTGAAAGTGACACACTAAATTTCGTTCACAAAGGGAGATAATTTAGGAACTGTCAAGTTACGTGAACATACAGATAATGTTGTCCTTGTTATCATTTTAATTAAGCAGAGCTATTAAACCTATTTGTATGAGTTGATTTAGATCCGGTTGAGGAGCGAAATAACTGCATTTTTGTAAATGTGTCAAATCTATTTCCTAAATTAAATGCAGTTCGATGACGTTTGGCTTGTCGGACAGCATTGGTAAGTGTTTTTTAGTCCTTTTTAGTGACCATATCTCCTTAACAGCGATGTTATCGGCTGCATGGCCGCAAGTAGCTCTACTTTATTTTAACATAAACCTGGTAAATGGACACTTTGTTTCAAAAAGTTCAAAATTAACTATTATTTTAAGATCGGTCCATTGAATGCCAGATTAAAAGATTATTGTTGTTAAAATATATGTCGATTTTATATTGATCAGTTAATTTCATTCAATTAACATTTTCTGCTAAAAGAAATATTGGAAAGTGAATTTTGGACAATGTTTACAATGTGTTACATTTTGACGACATTTTATACCAGAAAGAGCCTGAGAACCCATTTTTTTAAATCGCCATTCTCGAAAACACGATGCGAAAGTTTTCCTGTTACTATTTCAATAAATTCCTTTATTTAATGGAATACATATACACCGTTAGTAACCTGTTTTTACGTAATGCAATTGTTCAACAGAAAATAATTTTCACTTGTTATCAAATATTTGTCTTTCAAAAATTTAGATAATCTAGGTGTTGTTTTTAAAACGAAACAAAATACACTGACTTTTGCTAGAAAAAATATTAAACACACCCTTTATAACGAATATAATATACACATATGTATCATATGTATTTCCTACTACACTGTACAGCTCTTCCCACACCATTTTAGATGTAAAAACTGTTGAGAACCGCTTTTGGTTTTGCACTTTGTCAAATTGTAGATTGACATGATTTTATAAAATGCGAAAATAAAGAGTAAAGAATTGATAGAAATGCGATCGAGAATATATATAGGCGGAACCCTGCGTTTCTAGGTGATGTCACCGATCCCTATTGCGTGGATCGATGCTCATGATGTCAATCACGGGATTGTCTGGTCCAGACTCTATTATTTACAGACCGCCGTCATATAGCTGGAATATTGCTGAGTGCGGCGTTAAACAACAAACAAACAACTAGATCATAACTGTAACATTGAGCCAAGGGAACCCACTCTCAACTAGAGTATGAATTAAGATTAACTGAGTTATAAATAAGGCCACGGTCGTTACAATAACCTGCCGACACCTTTCGTTTCAATCTTTCCCAAGTTATCGAGAAAGTGTTGTTTCACACTTCTTCAGCATGGACTCGGACAGAAATATATTGTGAGCTATCGACTCCATCGCTTTGTGGATCGCTGTCGCGATTAAGAACCTTTCTGACATGAACTCTTTGATGCGTTCTTCGTGTTTTCGAAATGTCACTTTGAACCACACAGTTTAACAAAATGAAATGTCAATGTTTTAACGTAAAGCAGATTATTTGTTTGAGGTATATCGATTGCAAAGTATGCCATCTTGGATGAAGATAAAATAAACTTACGACAGGTATGGGGCTATCTTAGATTTACGACAATCTTACGATGTCTTAGGGCTACGATTGTTTCGAAAATTGGCTACGACAGCCTTCGATTTCCTTACGATAATTTTACGATGATTTAAGGGCTAGGGTCGTTTCGAAAATCTAGACCCTGACCACTGCTCATGTTTGAAAGAATGATGTTGGATGATAAATAGGTTCTCATCCTCGTGTCTTCTGAGATTACATATATCAACACTTGTCGATATAAGTTTAAAAGCCCTCTGCTTGCTTCAGAGTTTAAAATTATATCGACTAGTACTCGTTCTTATATATTTGATATCAAAAGACACGGTTTTGACATTCCCTGTGTATAAGAATCTTGGATGTTATTTTACAGTAATGTTTCTGGGTTCTTAACGATAGTATTAAAGATTGAAATACACTCAAAACACGATGAACCAACACTACCTCTAAATCGGAAATCAGAGAGTGTCTTTGTATATTCGTAAATTATTTTGCAAACTACTTGAAGGAAACAGGGTTACGCAAAATATATGTTCTTGTGAGGCGTCAGAGTGAACATAATGTCATAGGTATTTGTATGCAAATTTACACAAATCATCTGATCTCATATTGTCCGATTATAAAAGTGTATAATTTGTCTCAATATACCTATCTATTCCTTGTCTGTGTCATTTTTAATCGCTGGTGACATTTGATGAAAGATGTCACATTACACTACTTTCGAAGCAGGTCATAATTTAAAAGCTGTACATGAGGTGAGGTGAGGTGAAATGGAGTTTAACGTCGCGTCCAAGATTATTGCACTTATATAGCGACATGCATGTACGTGTATGTGTTTGTGTGGCTGCTTGTACTAGTCCGGACTGATGCCGATTTCACTCAGACACAGTATACTGACTCCGAGCCGACAAGTCCTTGTTTTAGCCCCTTAATGCCGAGCGCCAGACAGGGTAACAACAAGTACCATCTTTTGACGTCTTTTGGTATGACGCGGCCGGGGATCGAACACCGGACCTTCCGCTCTCCGGGCGGACGCTCTACCACTAGACCACGGAGGCGGTCAGCTGTACATGAGAGACGGCGTTAAACCAAACTCACTCACCAACTCACAACAAGTCAATTACTAATTTCGTTCCCGGCCATGTTATAAATTAACACTCCACATACCTTATCATTCTACTTGTACAATTTGATCAAGTTATAACAAGTGCTTGATGGACAATCGTGCGTTCAGGATGCAATCTGTGTAATTATCGCATTGACATATCATTAATATCGGAACAGGGAGAGCCATTGGTCTTGTTATCAACAAATCATCTCAGTCAGAGCCTTATTCTGTTGTCTTGAAGGGGTGTGGTTAGGTTTAGTGGCCTTTAATATCACGGACATGCCGTACCAGGGATCATGAACAGTATATTTATTTACACATATAAGACAGCTACGCGATAACTCGCAAAGAACAATGAAGAACGTTAACGAGGCGTGGTTTATTTCACGATAAAACATTTTTCTATCATGACGTCATTTCTGGACATTCGAACATGCGCTCGCAACTTGATGACGTCTTCACCCTCTTGGTGCCACGGGTCCATATATGGTCCCTCATTTTTCACACCCTCATAGTGCCATGCGACCATATATGGTCCCGTTAAAATGTCCCTTTGCAACTTCTCGACCTTTTTCTGCCATGTTGAACTTCATGCGAATGACGGCGATTTTTTTTATTAATATTATGCATCAATGTCACATACACGTGACTATAATATCAGACAGCCAATTTGAAAAAGAAATCTGATCAGACTTGTCAGAAAAAACTTTTCCCCACTGTACAGTTATTGGCGTAAGACTACGGACGTTTATTCTGCCAACGGAATTTTTTTTGTTCAATCAAAGCATATGTTTATCGACTGTGTGTCATGGCGATTTAGCACGGCGATAGAAAAGGAACGATATTTCAGTTTGTCTTTCTGTTTATGGTGCTGATTTACAGAAAATATTCTAATCAAAGATACGGAAAGATAGCTATGGTCCTTAATATTAAGGTGGTATAGTGTATATTTATGGGTTGGAGGTTCATGATAAAAAAGTAAACATTGAATGGCCATGCCCAAAGGGATCGACAGGGCAGGATCGCGTCATAGCTGAGCCGTTTACCAGTTGTCCTACATGCTGGCCCGTATAGACAAATAATTCGTATTTTCCATGAGTCTAATGTACATGGTACATGCTGTGATTGTTCAAGATAATTGATAACAAATTATGTATACATACATGTCATGAAGATTCATTAATTAATTATAAATATCATCAGAAAATGAAATATATTATCATTACACGAAAGCTCGTATTTCCAACATTCTGCCACAGATGTTAGATCTAATTAATATTAGATTTACAAATTATTGATGTGGACTGTTCTCTCGATTATCGTATGATAATTAATTGCAAGTCTTCAACTCAATTTGATATGTTATCTCTAGTGTCAGCTATGAGTAATCTTTAATTTCTTTTCGTTATTTCGTTATTTTATTAGACGGTCGGTGGTTTTCCGCCGCTGTGAATTTGTCGTCTGGAGAGGCGCGCGTGATTTGACCTTCGTGTTGTGACGTGGATGACGTCACGTGAAACAGCTGATCAAATGTTAGTAGTATATATAACCGATACACGTGGTTTTAGTTCCTAAATAACAATATTCTCTTTGACTGAACTAGAAACTATATCTCATCCATCACGATTGGAAGATTTCCACGGCGACCGACGAGTGCATGAGACCGCTTCTCACTTGACTAACACTGTTAGAGTATTTGGCGCAGTTTTCTAATTTTGGTATGTTGACTTATGTGTTTTTCATATCTGTTTGAAGGCTTGATATTCCAAGAAAATAATGAGCATATAGTTGAATAAGGGAATGGAATGTTTCACAATGAGAAAGCTGTCAAAATGGATCCAATATTAAACAACACAGATTTTTAATATTTTACAGTAAACTACGGTTATAACGAACACGTTTATAACGAACTCACGGATATAACGAACTTACTTTTTGGTCCCGACGACTTGCTGTAGTCATGCTGTATATGTACTTATAACGAACTACGGTTATAACGAACTAAAATTAGTAGTCCCTTTGAGTTCGTTATAACCGTAGTTTACTGTACCTTCATCTATTTGAATATCGAACGGTTCAATTTATTACATCAACAGTACAAAGGTAACTTGATTTACACACAAAATATAGATAATCGATTTCTGTAGGAGAAAAAAAAATGAGTGTAAATGTGATTTCGTTTTGATGTTTTAAATAGTTTTATTGATATTTAT